ATAATAATAATAATAATTGTCGCGGCTAATCGCCGTCGCAAAGTACAGCAACGACACAGCTCAACAAGGTCGAACCGAAAGCATGCATTGGCGCCTGTGGCAGCCGCTATACGGTCCATGTGTGACCTTGGAGCACAGCTTACAGCCAGCTGGAATCAGCTGTATGTTGGTTTTTGCTGAGGGAGGAAAACCGGAGAACCCGGAGAAAAACCCTCGAAGCAGAGAAGAGAACCAACAACAAACTCAACCCACTTATGGCGTCGGGTCCGGGAATCAAACCCGGGCCACATTGGTGGGAGACGAGTGCTCTCACCACTGCGCCATCCCTGCTCCCCCATAAGACCCCTGCTCCCCCATGGACTTGGATTGCAGGCAGGAAATTTGATTTCTTTGCAATTTTAAAATTATCTCCAGATTCGTGTTGACAACACAACATATGCTACATATGCTTCCTTAGCTAAACATTGGTATTTCATATTTATAGTAAGATCCAATTTTATGAGTCCATTAACGTCACCCGGCTGGCAACAACAGAAACAACAGCAACAAGAGCTCAATGATTGTTGTCAGAAAGCTTTTTTCTCCAGGTATATATGGAATTTAATAGCGGAGCTCCGGCGGCCCGAAGGGCCGCCAAGTGGAGCCCCATACTCATGTGGGAAAGAAAAAGAAACCCATGAATGAATTTTCTCATGGTTTTCATGGCTAACGGTATTGCTCTTGGGCGCGTACGCACGACGACGACGACGGCGGCGGCGGCGGCAGAGTTGCCCAACATGGCGGCCATACTCCAGCTAATTGGTTGACAGAGACATGCACCCTCGGTTTGCAGCGTAACTCTTTGATATTGGACATCCATGTTATGGTCAATTGACATGTGTCAAAACAAGGTATCCGCTGACCAGTATCATGTGACCATATCGCGGGCTCAAGTTTAGAGCTCATCGAGTTCACGTGGTTTTTGAAGTTAACTGCTGACCAAGTGCTGGTTTTTGATTAGATCGCGGGCTCATGTCACCTTAACTTGCTGGCCGGGTTGTTCGAAAGTCGGTTAACGCTAACTCAGGATTATAAAAGTTAACCAAAGTGTAAATTTTCTTGTATACAAATGTTTTCCTCTGCTTTTTGTGTATTATGAGGACCTTGAGATAATTGAAACTCAAAACAGAAGGCCAAACAACAGAAATGGAAAACTCCATCGTAAAGTTTCAAAACTCAAATTAAAACTCTCGCCTATCTTGGGTTAGCTTAATTGGGCTTTGAACAACCCGGCCCAGGAGCTCCGCTTTTAGGCTTGGCTAAATCTATATATTAGTGTTTTTCTAAGTCAATAGCCTTCGAAAACCAAAAAACCAAGTGTGGAATATTTCTTTTGAAATGATGAAACATTTTTTTTGTGTGTGTGAATTTTTTTATATGTTTTCACCATCCTCTGATATAAATCCGTGCCATTCCATATTTTTGGTCGGGACTGATTTGCGGTCCAATATGCGGATCNACATACTTGCTCTCTAAAATAGAACTAAGTACTACATAGGTCATGATTTCATCGCAAACCAATGGTCAGGATTGTATCATGTTAGAATTTTCACTTTTTCTTTGACAACCTTTTGCAATCATAATACCAGTGTACAAGTACCAAGCAGTGAAACTTACAAGTACAGTACCGATCAGAAGAAACCTAACAGGAAACGCGTTTGTGAACGGGAACGGAATGGATACAGAACAGGTATGAGAATGGGAACAGAACGGATACAGAACGGGAACGGGAACGCGTGTGGAACGGAAACAGAAAGCGTTCGGTCAAGCATACCCTGTTAGGTTTCTTCCGATCGGTACTGTATGCACTGATCATGTAGCTATTACATCTAGGGTATTTCAGTCTGACCCTTTATGTTCAGTCTGAACTCCCATTGACCCAGTCTTCAAGAATTGCTACCACATCCATTCTCCCCAGATCCTCACCCTTTAACAATTCAATCAGGTTTCCTACTGTTGCTTCACTCGATGAAGACCAGTTTTGCAAGATGACATCAGTGGGATTTGTCACCTGTTCAATGGCACGTATAAAATCTCTGTCGAATCCAACTTTCTCTGCCAGCATTCTGAAGTCATCAAATTTCAAATCTCGCTTGACATTCAACATCATGCACAATTGGGCATGCAATTTCAGCGGTAACTTTGCTAGCATAGTTGAAAGCCTTCTGTTCACTTGCCTGCTGTTTTGTGTTGCACCCCGGTCCACCACATCACCTCCAATGGGATACAAGCTAGTTTCTTCAATACCTGTCTTGAGGTCTTCAAGATGTCTTCCAGTAGATCTTCCATCCACATTATCAGGATTTAGGTTCATAGACTGAACTCTGTTTTCAGCTTCATCAATGTCAGATTCCAACTCCACAGCTTCCTTTCTGTACTCTACAACACAAAAAAGATTGCTGTTCACAGATGTACCTTTCGTGACTGTTTCAAATGGATGATCAATTA